GAATTTTCATGATATTGACTGACTTGCATCTTGTGCAATATTTCGATTTGTCGATGAATATCACATTTATTCTCTTTTTTTTTCATTTGGTAGAGAAAATTCTTTACCTATCCATGAAATTGTATACTAATTTAAGCATTGATGATATCATATTTCTGCATTTGAACAAAGAAATCAAGTGTGTAATGCGATGCTGTTTTTTGCTTTTGAATTCAGAAAAAAAGATTTGTTTTCTCGATATCTTCACTGATCTTAGCTGAGAAACTTTGAAAGATTCTTCTCATTATTTGCCAATTATATGCAAGCATAAATGATTCTCTTTCACATGTATACAAGCAAAGAATAGCTATCAATAAATGCATGTTTGTATACAACAGAAGATTTTCTCATTGTCATTGTGACATATGCTTAAACTATGTGAGTTTTAAATATGAAAAAACAAAATTTGAATATGATTTCTATATGAATCGTAGAAAATAATGAAAGAATAGCAGTTAACATAACACAAGAAAACAACTTTTTTTTATTATACACATAATACAAACGAATAAAAATCAAAACTTACTCTACCAAGATTGTGAGAGATGATGTATTCATTCTTTACATGACTAAACTAAAGTTTTTGTATGTTTCTAGATGAAATTTGGATGTTAACTGATATATAACTTGTACTTGTCAATTGCTATACCAATATGTAAAGCCTACAGTTAAGTATTCGATGCATATAAAATTTGTGATAAGTACTTCGATCTTTCATAATTTTCAAACTTGAATAACAGTCTATTTGACAAGTAGAAATCGTTGTGTAACTATTGCCTCAATTAAAATTGAAATTATATTTTTTTCTTGTTCCGTTCACATTATCAGCATGTCAATCATATGCATAATAAGAAAAAAAAACACTGACGCTGTCCATGCTGTCGTTTTCGTTCTTGTCAGAGAAAATGAAACAAAATTATACAACATATATGACAAGGTATCTGATGCAGTGAAACTGAAGTCACGCTTCATTTGAAACGTTAATGAAAGTTGGAAAAAATTATCATATGATCAATGATGATACTGGTTTTTTCCCTTTAATTTATTTTTGATAAGCATACTTTCAATTACTACTAGGCATATTTTGTTATTGAGTGTCAACGAAAAAACAAAATATTCATATTTTACCTCGGAGAAAAATCGAGAAAAAAAACAACGTGCATCAAATATATAAATACAAAAGGTAAACTCTGTTCAAACAGCCATTTACTTTTAGCACTACACGGTTACCAATCGCATACGAAACATTACATCAGAAATGAGTCAACAACCAAGCCGACGCTTCGCTGAAGACTACTTGGTTATCTGGGTTGATGCAAACATTGATATCGCCAATAAAGATTGCCAAAATACAATGGAGCAATTGAGAGCTGTCGTCGATCAAGTGCAACAATGTACAACAGCTGAACAATGCATTCAACAACTGGTTGATAATGAAGAGAAGATCTCATTCATTATCTCTTCTAGTGCAATTGCACAGCACTTGGTACCAGACATC